GACTCCCATACATTACCTATACAGGTACGTGCCGCCCAATGGGGTCGTGATTTTAAAGCTCCTGGTTTAGAAAGGGGTATTCATTTCAGAGGCGTTTTCTAGAACGGGGTATAATATTTCGAACGCATGAAAGCTCCAGTTTTGTAAGCAACCATTTGAAATTATTCAAGGACAGATTGCTTTTAAAAATACAGCTCAATGCGTTACTGAAGCAAACTGTTATACTCTTATTGCACCCTAGAACGGAGTATAAAAAATTGGCCCATTTCTAGAACGGGGTATCAGTTTTAGGGCGATTTCTAGAACGGGGTATCAATTTTAGGGGAATTTTTTTTTTAGAAAGGGGTGCCAAGTTGGAGTCCCGGGCGGCACATACCCACCCAAAAAATACCTAAGTGCCCCCCCCCCCCCGGGGGGGGTGTCAATTTTTAAGTAATGGCCTTCTGCAAAGAGAAGTTTTACACAGTCAAATCTCTGTTAAACTGCCACACCCTCCAGCTATTTAGTGACTCAGATCCAGGGTTTTTCTTGGGAGGGGGTTTACCACTTAGGAATGGCGTAACTGACTAGTGACGTAAACAAATTTTAAAAGCAAATACAAAGAAAAAGTCTTTTGACTACGCAATAGCATGATGTGGCCTGCTGAGAATACTTATCTCCACATTATGCAGAATACCAATAAAATTATTTAATTAGAAAGCTGTAGGTCATCCCCAGGGGTGGAAGGTGGGGTGGGGATGCACTCTCCCTGCACCCTCCTGCTAGATCCACCCCTGAGAGTCTCCTTATGAGCAAAACTCTCGGTTAATCATTGAGAACTGACCTGCATTACCTGTAAGCTGCAAACCTTTGCAAACGGGCCATTTCCCCCCCTTTTCCAAGGGCAGTAGCTTAATTAAATGGAGATTTGACTGTAGTTTGTGTGACACAGTGCTTATGCTCCTCCTCTCTCTATTTTTAAGGTTAAAACAAATGGTTTTTCTACAACCCCACTTCAGTTATATAGTTACTGGAAATGCGAAGAAGAGTCAACGGGCCTCAGAGTTGATTATAAGTATAATCCTGCTTGTATGTCAGCTCCTTGCTCCATCAGCAACTTGTCTTTCTTAGTTCCAATGAGTGGTGGAGTCACCATTATGCAGTCCAAGCCATCGGCTACTTGGTAAGTCACTGGCAGGGCTGGTAACCAGCCAAAACCGCTGGCTGGTTATTCTCATCTCCTTCTAACATAACTGCTAGCAAAAAATAAGCATTATTGAATAAAACAAATATTATTGTAAAACACCTTTTTTCCAGTTTTGAAGGACACTGAATGCATATTTAAACAGGTTTAGATCTGTGAAATGTTTGAACAGTGCGATGTCATGGAACGCCTGAGGCATTTTGACAGCATTATTGCCATTCCCAGTCTTGTGTGTCTTCTAATGAAACAACATGACATCTGCGGTGGAAAATAACTCTTGAAAACCCCTGGAAACTCCATTTCTGAGACTCTAAACGAAACATGGTACTCAAATAGGGTAACTTCAGAGAACATAAGAATCCACACCCCTCCCCTGTCCCCTCCATTCAAAGTTGAGGTGTTTGTTGTTTCCTAATAATAGCTCGAACTGTGGCACAACATTGCAAGGAGGGGATGGGGAAGGAAAAGCTATATTTTACCCTTTTGAAGTCAGGAAAATGTCAAAAAGTCCATTTAGGGCGAATTGTCTCAACTCATTTTGTCGCCGATTGTAGGTTGATTCTCTATTTCCTTTGTCTCCTAGCCCTAATTATTCATGAATTACGGCTAGGAGACAAAGGAATTTGAGACTCAACCTAGATTTAATCAAAATTAACCTGAAATCAAATTTGACCTGTAGCAGATGCATAAACACTTTTCTGTCTAATAAAAGAGAGGGTTTATTTAAAGAAGAATTCATTTGCTGTTAATCTCTGTGAAAAATCCTTCCATAATCAGTACAGGTCTCAACACTAATGGCATGTTAATTTTAGGTCTGCTGAACACCAGAGAGCTTTGTGGAAACTCCAGGAAGTCTCTAATACAACTGAAACACAAGGTATGTCCTTGTTTTATGCAGGCTACAGCACTCAACTTGCTTTTGGACAGGGAACAATGAATTGTGTAACTTTTCCTGGCAGCTGTGTGGCTCCTGAGAACATTTTGTTGGGAAAAATTTCCAGGGGTTATGGGTTTATCAGATTCAACTGTATTTTTTTGAATACTCTTGTTTTGTCACAGCACTTGAATAATCATTGATACAAAGCAACTAAAGAGGAGAGGTGTGACGTCAAGTTACCATGTTTGCCAAGTTTCTGGATGATGACAGTTGGGCCGAGATTAAGCAAAGACGACGGCGACAGTAATGAGAATTGCAAAAAAAACCAATAGGTTAAGATTAGCAAAACAGCAACTTTGCACGTGCATCACGCTTTCTTTTGTACATTTCTTAACTGCTGATGCACAACTGCGACGTGAAACTTCCTAATTTAACGCAACTGCTTTACGGAGTAGGTGAACACAAACACAAAAAGTTTCTTTTTCTTTGTTTAAGCTCAGATACAGTCCTTTCGGATTAAATCCAGAAAATTTCGCCAACATTTAACAAATTAAATGAAACTGAATAAGATTGACGAAGTTTGAAACATTGCAAATTTACTTTTTGAGTGAATTGCGGTTTGTTGTCAGCCCAAAATTTTGCTACCATGGCAATGTGACGTAAGGACTTCTCCTCTCTATTAAGGCATATAATGACTGTTATTTTCCTTTTCTTTTGGTTGATATTGCCATTTTAGGTTCTTTAAGAGCAAGATTTGATCTAACACAGGGGCCAAGCACCCCATCGCGGATTGCTGTACAGTTCACCTGCAACGGTGCCACCATTTCTAAACTTAATTTTGAACTCAGAAGTCAAGAATACAAACTTTCTCTTGTTAAAAAGAGATTTACTACTGGTAAGGCATGATAAATTGTTTTATTTGTGATGTTTTATGAGCAAAGGCCAGGGTAAAAAAGTTGCCTAAGATTTTTTTTTCTTCTCACTTCCAGGGTCATTTATCAATAATGTCTTTGTTGTTGCCAAATAGCATTTTTTAATGAAATATTTTACGATTCTTTTTTTATATTCATTACTTAACACTTTGGAAGCTATCATAATAGCTATAATATTATCATTCACTCAAAATATTTCCCCAATTTTGATTGGCTAAAAGCACACGCATAATTCAGCATAACCAGTTATTGGTGACCAAATTTGGAAGAATTTTGTGTTTAACGAAGAAATGATGTCAAAAATGCAGCCTGCTACAGTTTAAGGCACCTTTACCAAGAAGACCTGGGGAAGAGGTTGAGTTGTTTTTGTTGAGAAAAAAAAGGTGGACATTTCACTTATTTCAAGAGTAAGAACTACAGCCGGAACTAGGCGAAATAATAGCTAAAAACATGGCACAAACAGCAAGAAGACAACTTGGAGGCGACATCTGCTATTTGGAGAATATTTGCGGAGCTGGACAAACCTAAATGTACACTATCGAAAATGAACTTAACATCGATGCAGGTGAGCATGTTTTAGCTATGTTTTTAAACTAGGAATTATTTTGAACAAATAAGAAAGCAATTAATGAATTTGGCTTTCGTAGGATATGAAGAATGAAGCAGATCTCAGAGGGTGTTATCCTACTCGGCCGATAACACCCTCCTTGATCTGCTTAATTCTTCATATCCTACGAAAGCCAAATTCATTAATTGCTAATCAATTAAGCTTGCAAAATATTAATGTTTTGTTATTTCTCACAGCTGATTATTATTTTTTTGCAGGTAAATACATTGCAGAGAGCTAATGCCTGCTAGTACTGAGAAAAAATATTTTAATGATTTAAAGCAACAACAAATTTAAGGTCAAGCAGAGGATGAAAAGAAATATACTTTAATGTAAAATGTAAATGAATGCCAAGAAAGTAAGAAAGAAATGATACGAAAAGGGATATAGTAGATGACCATTGAATTAGAAAGTGATTGAAATTTTACATTTATAATGAATATTCCAATCTTGTCTTCCGCATTTACTTTATACATTTTAGAATATGATTTGTACTTACTTTTGGAAGTACAAGAAGAAGTAGTATTTTCAAGACGTGGAGATGATCATCCTATAGGGGATCTTGAAAAAGTGTTTTAAAATTGCATTCACAATTATTCCAGTTTTTCACTATATCATTTGCTATTTTTGTGTTTTTTTTTTAAACCAAGAAGTACTTGTTCTTAAGTGGTGGATGAAGATAATAGTTATGTGAAAAGCGACTTGCTCACTCATCATCAAACAGAGGCCGAGGCCTGCTCTAGTTGGAACTTTGACAATGCATAGCACTCTCACACATGATCACATTCATAGGCAAAGAAATTGCAAATAATGGCATTCAATGTCCCTTGAACAGCAAGGAACAAACCTTTTTTGAGGAAAAATTCTTCTTGATGGCATGTGGGGTTACTGTGCCAGCTAACAGAATTTTTCTCTGAATTTTTAGGCATAAAAGACCTTCCTCACTGTTCATAGTAAGACCCTACCAATGTTGGTTTGTGAAATAACACAGCCTGGTAATAGTGGCTGAGTTATGGTATACACCACTTGTACCAAAACGAATGGCATGTGTTACTAATGATGCATTTTCATCTGTTTTGGTAGTTGACATTGTATGGCAAAAATTGTAAAACAAAGATGATGATAAAACATCCAATTTACTATAAAAATATTACAGTCAAACCAGGTCAAGCGTACCCCCCAAGAAGCCATTAATGAATTTATTATTCAAAAGGTGAATCTGTTGCTAGTTGTAGATTTCAGATTGATCTCTGCATTCTTATATGTGTAATGAGCCGTGAATTCACACGCGAGGCAGTTATGAAATTTCTACCGCCTCCATTTTCCTGAAATTGATGTAAATGTCTTCTAAGAAGCTTAATCCATTCAAAGATTTCCAATCTGACCAAATACTGAGAAGTTCTCGTAAAATTTTCACTGCTCATTACGCATGCAGAAATGCCGCTTTGAATTTGACACCAGTTACGGAAATGACTAACGGATTCATTTTTCAAATAATCAATTCACTGATAGAATCTTGGGGGGTACGCTTGACTTGGTTTGACTGTAATTTTGTTGCATGTTAAAGTGCCATTGACCCCTTGCACCTCTTCCTTTTCTTAATTTGAAGATAATTTTTTAAATGTAATTCATCTTACCCTTCCAATCATTGTATTGCTTGCAGTAATTGAATATATGCCTGTGTAATGAGTATCACAGATACGAGATGCTCAATATTAGAGTCTGATTTTGATCTCCTTCCTTTGAGCATTTTGAACTTAGCACAGTAATGCTACCTAGTTTGTTTTACATGAATGGACGATGAAAATCCACCATGGCAGCAGCCATCTATTATAAAAATGATCTATTGGGTTTCACTGCCTTGTGTTTTGTGCAAGCTGGGCTTTGCAATCACATCATGTTGTTCAGTGGAATGTTTTCATTACTTAGCAGTCAAAAAATAAATCACACTGGGGCTGCTTCAAATGGCAATTTATTGCTTGACATATGTCAGTAAGAACTTCAAGTGTTGGCTTTTGAATAGTCATTTATTGACGTGGTCTTTCCCTGGAAGAAACCAAGATAAGGGGTCTTAATCAGTTGGATTTGTTACAACAAAACCAAGCAGAAATGTAACATGCCTCACATTTTCGCCAGAAAGATTGAGCTTCCTGTCAGTGCTTACAAGGTGCACATTTTTCTATCCATTTCATCCATGCATGGATCGTAAATGTTACAATCCACATTAGATATGATTTAATGTGAGTCCACTCAGAGTGGTAGGTAAAGAAAGAATAATCTTTTGGGGGAATTCAAGAATCTAGATTTGGATCATTTTCCCAGGGAATTGCACTCTGATGAGGACAATACACATTTTTGTGTGGTATCCACCCAGTTTGAGTTTAAATAGAGCCATTTTAATTTATCTAACAGTGCCTTAGTATTTGTATGTGGAAACCCCATTGGATTTGTTTTTGTTTTCTTTTTATGTTGCAAATCATGAATGAAGAAGCTCTGGGAAGTGAATCAGAATGGGTAAAGATTACATCTTAAAAATGTTTTATTATTGCTTTTTTATTTTAGTAATTTTGTTACAAATTATTAGAATGATGCAATTTATTGTAAAGGAGTACAATGCATTAAGTTGCCTGAATCAAGGGTACATTTTTTTGCATTTAAAATTAAACAAGACTGAATTATTTTAATGTGTGTTATTTTGCTTGATGAGGAAGTGTTTACAAGCAGCACATTTGGTCGGTTAACGTGGATATTATTGACCATTGTTCTTCACTCTCTCATACAAGGATCCCCGGGGTGGGCCCTTATTTGACCCAATGGAGTTACGTGCTGCTTAACAGGGTTTGGTTTTCAGGGTCTTAAGCCTTTAAACAATGGTATATAATTTCATTTGTTATCGTTACAGCTATTTTTGTTCCGTTGGTAAGAACTTTTAATGGTTTGTTAATTTGCTCCCTGTCCCAAATTAGCGCCCATTTGAAAAAAAGTGCCCTCCATCGGATAACAAATTTTAAGTAATTATGTACAAGGAGCACTAAATTGATCAATAATATTATCTAGCTCATTAGAGCCTTTGTCTGTCAAGCAGGAGCTTGGAAGGTTAAAGCCTTACTGGGTCTTATACTGGGGTCTCAAGAACAGCTGGTACTAAAACTGTTTTTTGTTTTGTAAAGCCTGTATCTCAATCTAGATTGGTAGGGCGGTAAAAGGCACATCCACTGGTCTTAATAAGTCACATAGCTGTGCACGAAGGTCAGTGGGAAAGGTCATGCACCTGTTGTTGGGGTATTTTGTACATGTTGTGTGGCTGATGAGAATGGGATTGATGTGGGCCTCCATTGATTGGAATAATCCTGTTATACAAACCAGTGCTGTCAACCTAACCAAATCAAAAAACTTCCGTGAAACATTTGCTGATATATTTTCTTTCCACTATGAAATTTTCAAAATATAGTTTTTTTAGCCTTATAACCGATGCCCTAGAAGGAGGATTTTATAATGGTAATTTTGACGCAGAAGCTGCAAAATGAAATCCACTCTGAGGGAGGGGAATGATCAATCAAAGCTTCTAGTTGAATCAAATGAAATTCTTCTTGAAATATCATGGAGGATGAGAAATACAAATCAAACTTTATAGAATTGTAATAAATTATTTATTCAAAGATTGTAAAATTCAACTCTTAGCTAATGTACATTGAATCCTCTGAATTTTTAAGAAAAAAACTATCACAAAATTTCAACATTTATGTAAAAATGTATAAAATGAAAAGTAATGTGATTACTCCGAGTTTCCAATTAATTAAAACACTCTTGTTGTTTTTACCATATAATGCTACAAAACGTATGTGAATACTACATCTATATAAATATTTTTTACGACTTTACATTTTTTACAATATAATCTTGAATGTTTATAATATACTCCACTCTACACAATAGGGCCATTTATACGAGGAAAAATAAGACGCGTCTTAAATAAGACGCGAACTTTCCGTATAAACGGCACATTTCGTCTAAAATAAGACGCGGCTTAGCTAAGACGCGTCTTATTAGATAAGACATNTGTTGTGTGGCTGATGAGAATGGGATTGATGTGGGCCTCCATTGATTGGAATAATCCTGTTATACAAACCAGTGCTGTCAACCTAACCAAATCAAAAAACTTCCGTGAAACATTTGCTGATATATTTTCTTTCCACTATGAAATTTTCAAAATATAGTTTTTTTAGCCTTATAACCGATGCCCTAGAAGGAGGATTTTATAATGGTAATATTGACACAGAAGCTGCAAAATGAAATCCACTCTGAGGGAGGGGAATGATCAATCAAAGCTTCTAGTTGAATCAAATGAAATTCTTCTTGAAATATCATGGAGGATGAGAAATACAAATCAAACTTTATAGAATTGTAATAAATTATTTATTCAAAGATTGTAAAATTCAACTCTTAGCTAATGTACATTGAATCCTCTGAATTTTTAAGAAAAAAAATATCACAAAATTTCAACATTTATGTAAAAATGTATAAAATGAAAAGTAATGTGATTACTCCGAGTTTCCAATTAATTAAAACACTCTTGTTGTTTTTACCATATAATGCTACAAAACGTATGTGAATACTACATCTATATAAATATTTTTTACGACTTTACATTTTTTACAATATAATCTTGAATGTTTATAATATACTCCACTCTACACAATAGGGCCATTTATACGAGGAAAAATAAGACGCGTCTTAAATAAGACGCGAACTTTCCGTATAAACGGCACATTTCGTCTAAAATAAGACGCGGCTTAGCTAAGACGCGTCTTATTAGATAAGACATGCTCGTATAAATGGTACAGTTCGCGTCTTATTTAAGACGCGTCTTATTTTTCCTCGTATAAATGGCCCTAATATTCCTTTCTACAACTTCCCTTTCTTGCGGGAAAGAGTTCTGTGGGCAATCTACTATGTCAATCTATTTTGCATAACAATAACAAGGAAAATGCCAGTGACTTTTTTTCAAGACGGACGTTGAAAATCGAAACAAACCGGAGTTTTTCTCGTAAAAATACTTTCAAAATACATGAAGAAACTAAATGAGGGCTGCTAAAACTTGTAGTTATCAAAACATGGTGATATTTTAAAAAAAAAACCAACCAAATTCACACTGCGAGAAAACCAATTACAAAAATACTGCAGACATTTAAATTTTGCCCGCCAAAAGTTGTTTTGAAAGCTAAAGACAACAATGCGATCGAAGATTCAGTTACAGTTCAGCTGAGAATCGGCGAGTTCAACGAGAGCCATAGCTCCGTACCATCGCTCTCTTGCGTCTGCCATCCTCTTTCTTGCCTCGATTCTTGATTTCTTTCGCTCCACGATTTGTTGTCGCGCAATCTCTTTCTCTAATTTTCGCTTGAGTACTCTTTCTTCCAGCTTTGTAGGATTTCGTTCATCTTTCTCCATCTCGTAGTTCGCTAGCCATTTCAACACGGCAGCCTTGTACTCGTTTGGCTCGGAATTTTCGTTCTTGAGGATTTCTTTCAGTGGTATTTCGGTGAAAGTCCGCTTTAAGCCAGCGTATGGATGAAGGCTGCAATGGCGATTGGCGTGAGTGAACCTCGTTGTACAACCTTCGGCAGTGCAAGCAAATGGCTTTTCGCCGGTATGGAGACGCTGGTGAGTCTTTAACTGGCCACTCTGAACAAAGGCTTTTCCACAGTTTGGAAAATCACAGACATAAGGCCTTTCACCGCTGTGGGTTCTTTTGTGAGCTTGAAGAGACTTCTCGCGCGGGAAAACGCGGTTGCAAACATCACAGCGAATTGAGGAGTACGAGTTCTGTCCTTCTTCCATCAAAATGTTCAGCACATCAGCTCTCGGTCTCCCCCTTGGCGGTACCACATTCGGTGATTTCGGGGAGAACTCGTTTACAGGCGTTCCTTTCGGTGTAGTCGGGGTTTGAGGTGGAGATGGTGGCATGAAATTGTGTGTTGGTGTTGTCGGAGGCGACCAAACGATGACCGAAGTTCTCTGGTTCTGTTGCGAGTTGAGCTGCTCGGAGATATCTCCAAACTTTGGAACAGGCCGTAGCATCTTATTGTTCGTTGAAAACAGGCTAGGACCAGGCTGTGGAAAATAAATACCGTTTTTTTGAAAGGAAATCGTCAGGAAGTCGGCCATTTTTAAACTGCACAGTTCAAGTATCACGGCAGTTTAAACGGGTTAAATGAAATTTCCCGCCTTTGGTAATGTATTTTACACGTCACGAACAAGTGAATAAATTGTAAATGCGCGCCAAAATCTTTCGGAGGTTTCTTGGATTTTTCTCGTGCCTACTTTCACAAAAAAATCAAACTAACAAACCCCCTGATTTCTAATACAAGTGGTGAAGTAATTCTTTAAAGAAAATGCTGAATTTTCACCATCATGTTAGCCCGAAAACGAGAATTTTCAGGTATGTGACGTCACTGTACAAACATTATGTGCAATGGACCATGTTCATTTTCGATTATGGTATTTGCATCTCTATTGGCAGTTTCTTTTTAAAGCACATGTCAACACGTGGCATAAGAAATATTATTTTACTTTCCAAAGAAAGATTCAAAGTCCTCGAGCCCATATACGTTCATTCAAGTTCCCTGCTTAACTTTTCTTCGCTTATCTGCTTGTTCAAAAGATCACAGGGAAAAGGATACTGGATTTCTTGGAATTAAAATTCCGGGTTACATTATGCCATGTGCTTGAATTCCTTGATGCGTGGCTTTTGACTGATTTAAGTCAAGTGGTTTATAAAACAAGTATTGATCATTCAGTTATAGTTCTGCATAAAAATAATGCACATTATCTTAAGGGCTTGTTTTGACGCCACGAAAGTGAATTCAGCCGACCTCCCTGAGTTTCTTTCTCGGTTGAGTTCACCTTCTTTCAGTGAAAGATGGAGAGACTGCGCTTTGTGACACAGTGCAATTTTATCGTGTGAGCACAAGTTTAGAGTCAAGAGTTCAGATTGTTTTTTAGTCTATAGGACCTATGGAGGTTTATTTTAAACCTACCAGTAGACTGGTCTATCCTCGCTCCTTTTCAGTGAAGGGACGAGGAGCGAAAAGAAAAGCCTGAATTTGCAGTATACCAGAGTATACATCGCATTAGTTTTGAGTTCTTTATCCATACTTTTTTAAAATTCTTACCATAAATAAAACGATATTGAAAAAAATCCAATCTAACCAAACGACAGCTGAAAAACCGGAAGCGGAGCATCGATATATCGAAATGGAAGAGTATAGAGAGCGATAAAGATCTGATTGTTAACCAGTATTGCAATTATTGGGGGAAGCTTGTTTATACATTGTAAATGTACAGGCAGCTGATGAATTTAAGCCATTCGATCAATGAAGCTCAAAACTAAAAGTATGCGCCCCACGTCACGGTGATTGTGGTATCCCCGTGTTTTCCTGCTTAGGTATCCCCGTTTCCAACTCGCTAGTATTACAAATACAGAAAATATGGACATTGGCCGAATATATACCCCTGACACTCAGAACAGTGAAAACATTAATCCTGCTTCTGAAAACGCGACGGGTGATAAAGAAGAAATTCAAGAGGTAAAACGATTTAACCTGTTCATCAGTACATTTAAGTGCTTTGCAAACGTTTATGTTGCTTTGTCAATTCATGAGATTGTTATTGAATTTAGGCGAAGTAGGCTGGGTCTGGGTAGCCTCGCTTGGCTCATAAAGCGCCTGTTATGCAGGCTAGGGCCCAGGCTCTTTGGTGGGGAATGAGGGACTAGGGAGGGGGAACAGGCGGTGGATTACATTCCCCATGCCCCACTCCCTTCCCCTATTCATGGACTGATCACGCACGCCTTTTTGCTGATTTGCGTCGAATGATGAAGTTGACCATCATCTCACGTAAGTAAAAGAAAACGATTACGACGTTTCGCGGTATGAAATGATAATAGAACTACAACTCAATCACCGTCTTGTGAAAGCCGGCAAGAATTCTTCCCAAAACGCTATGCGAGATCCATAAGACCAACGCCAACGAGGGACGTCCCCTGGGGACTGGATTTGCACCAGCAGGTAGTGGGTACTGAGTGAGAGATTCTCTACTCGGCGCCAACACTCTTCGCCACTACAACAACCTGATTTGTTGCACGCTTAACATCGCTATTCAACTCGTTTTGCAGCAATGTTGCAAAACAAGTTTCTCGTTTTTGCTGCACGTTTTACCGTGGCTCCAACCGACGCGGCAGTTGCCTTTTCGATCTACACGTGGAAAGCCGCGCCTTCAACCTCGTCCCCAGGGCTTTTCCCTTAAAAAATGGGTGGGGCTTTTCCCGCCCCACCCATTTTTTAAGGGAAAAGCCCTGGGGACGAGGTTGCCGCGCCTTGCCGGTATATAGTGTAAGGTGAAATTGAACGCTCCCCCGCTTTTTTTCAAGGTCAAAAGATACTACCACTGAATTGAATAAGAAAGGTTCCATCCTGCTGAGTTTCATTAAACATGATTCACTATTTGTGATGTGCTGATTCTACCAGGGGCGTAACCAGCTTTTCGACTAGTTTTAAGCCTGGCTGACTTTCATTTCCACATATCCGGAAATTGCCCGCATGACTAGTACGCACTGACCTCACCAACACTTTGAGCTCTTAAGCTAATTTTAGCTCACGCCAACAACGCATAATTTGTTACAAGCGGTAGAGTGATCACTGAACCAAAAATTTGTAGGCCCGGACCTACTGGTCTATTGGCTGGCTACGCCTTGTCGGCAGCTAATTCGTTGGTGAAGACTGTGAAGCAAACTCTATATTTTCTGGATGTTGTCATAAATCCGACCATGCTCTTGTTCACTGGAATTTTCTTTCTCTTTCCAAGAAAACTGTGGCTGCCTTCCGTTTAATTCAAATGCGCGTCATCCTTTCCAAAAGCCTTCGAGAAAGAGCCTGACATCTCGTTAATTTTAACCCCAGGAAAAAAAAGCTAGCATGAAGATTGCGTAGTAAGGATAGATCCAGGAGTTTTCTTAGGAGGGGGTGTACCACTAAGGAATGGCGTAACTGACTGGTGGCGTAAACAATTTTTATACAGGATACTAGTTGTATTAGAAAGCTGCAGGTCATCCCTCCCCCTAGATCCGCCCCAGTGGAAATAGGTTGAATAGATAAAATCAATATACTGAATATTCAAAAGGGTTTTTCCGATTGACTGCGAAGTCTCGAAAAAAAAAAACGCACCTCAGTGTGTGATCTACGTAGAGTGCATCAAAAGAAGCTGAACATGGTGCTTGTAGTCGTTCTGGCGACAATTTCTGCTGCTAGTTTATCTCGGGTGCTGAAAGCCGCGAGGCAAAGGTGTTACTTAAGGTGACTGACAACAAAACCTACGAGATCGTCGAAGACGTTTTGGAAGAATTATCAAAGATTGAGCGCCCAATTCGAGTCTTCGCAGCCGTTGGAAACGCAAGAGTTGGAAAATCTACTATGCTAAACCTTGTTACACACGTCTGGGATGGATGGAATAAACATCAAGAAGATTTCGTTGACGCGATTTTTAAAACCGGTGATTCATTCAAACCGGTTACGCGAAACGTCTGGGCACACACGATTCATCCACGAAGCGAAAGCGGATCCATTGTTCTACTGGACGTAGAAGGCTTTGATTTAGGTGACGATACGGTAACAAAGCATCTTAGTATGTTCACAGCAATGATATCGTCTTGTTTAAACCTTTTTGTCGACAACTACCTGGGAAACAACGACAAAAACTTTCTTTATGAAATATCCCGCTTGAGTGCCTTGGTGTTACCAAACAAATCTGACCTTCGAAACTTCCCAAAGCTTCATCTCGTAATACGGAGCATTCTGAAATCTCCTGATGACATCGGAAGTTACGTTCGTGATACACTTTTTAAGCCAGATCAAAAACATGAAGTTACCCAAGGGATGGTAGATATCATTGAAAGATACTTTCCAAGGGACAGCATTGTAGTTAGCCAAATTCCAGTTGTAAACGAACCGAAGATGTTGCGAGATCTTGCAAAATTAAGGGAAAGTTTACACTGGGACAGTTTCGAAGAGCTTATCAATAAAGTAGTTACGAAGTGTCCTCAAAAGAAATTTACCACTGGAGGAAGCCCAATTGACGGTCAAGCCCTTGTAAACCTCGCGGAAGAAGTAGTGAGATCTATGAACAATGAAAACTCGTGGAAAGACTTTGGGGATGTCTTTTTAAACCTTGAAAAGGAAATATGTAAAAGAAGTTACGACAAATACATAAAGCCAGTACTACAGCTTGATTCGAGAAGTATTAGATTCATGATGATTAGAGCAAGAGACAAATTCAAAAAGGAATGCTTGCTTACAAGTGAGGTAGAGAGTACCGACAGGGAATTAACGAAGACACTCGAAGAAAAAAGTCAAGAAGAAGAAAAGAAAAGGAGAGAGGAGGACGCAGAGGAAAGGAGAAGAGAAAAGGAGGAGGAGGAGAAAAAGTGGTTTACTTACGAGAATTTAAAAGTAGCGGGTGGTTTTGCAGTCGGATTGCTTGGTAAGTACCTCTGGACCTTAAGCGATCAAAATCTTAAAAGTAACGTAACAGTTCTGCCTTCCTCCCCGTACAACGACATTGGACTTACTGGAGTCTGCTGGAAATGGAATGACATCGCACAACAGAAGTTCGATCTCACAGGGGAGGCCTGCGGAGTGATTGCACAGGAAGTTCAAAAGCTGTATCCCATTGCTGTTTTAGTGGGAGAAGATGGCTTCCTGCAAGTGCGATATGGAATTCTTCATGAGATTATCAGTAACCACGTTAGAAACCAGAGCTGTTAGATCATACACGTTCAAAAGAAACCTAGTACAGCACAGATACTTTTTATATGACAAAGTGACATAAAGGAACTCAGTCAGACGTTCAATACTGTTGACTTTGCATGCGAAACGATTAGTCCTGCTGAATTTCAGCTCATTGAAGTTGAGTCTGGTTTTGAGTTAGGAGGTTAGGACTGTAAACATAATTTTTTCGGCCGATTACCGGTGGGTGTTTGATTTGTTGTTTCCTTTTTTTACTAAACAGTGCTGATGTACCAGCACCTTTATGTGCCAAGCCATGCATGCGTTGTCAATAAATGTATTCTATCAAAATAATGCCTCATCATTAGTTTAACCAAAATTACCGGATATCTTAATTTTTTACAAAATTATTGTCTTTCACGAAAAGAGAAAAGAACGACATTAACTTCCTTTTCCCTGATTCTCTAAAGACAATAGTAATTTATTTACTTATTTATTACACAAAACAATACAAGTAAATGTCAAATTTACAGAAATTATTTTTATTTTCTATCACTGCATATTTTATTTAAAAAAAGAAGAAAGAAGAGAAAATAGTACTGAAAATTTAGTGATAATAATACTAAAACAATAAAACAAAAACTACAGCAACAACAAGAAAACTTATAAACACGTCGCAAATGCATACTAAAGGAAATGTTGAAAGGTGAAGTGTCGTACTATTATCGTTTCCAAAAGCTATTTCTTTCTGAAAGCTCAGCTTTTAACTAAGAAGTATGAGACAACTGTCAAAAGAGATCTCAGTTTTCCTCGTGTAGGCATCTTCAGTATATTGAGAATTTTGCAATTGATTAGAAGTGCGTAATTTAGTGAATATCTCTGTGTTGTGTATTATTGAAAACCCCATACAGAATCACACTGTCTGATAATGTCAAGGTTTGCCCAGTTTTATTGGTCTACCAAATTTAAAAATGTTCTCCGAAAGGCAACGACAGAGGAGCAGCTGAGCGCAATAATATGTGATCTAAAGAGTGTGTAGACAATAGTAATTGTGCTAGAACAATCGTGAGAACTTCCTTTCCGTAAATTGGGAAAATCTGTATCATTTAGTTAATCAACGACGAATGAATCAAAACATTCACTCTGATTCACTCCTCCTATCCTCTCTTGATCTTGCTTAATGCCAATTTTAAAGTAAGGATAGGTTAACGATGACAAAGAACTAAACTGCAAAAAACCGTGGAAGAAGATCCCAAGGGTTGTCTAAGTTGGATCTTACGAAAAGATCTAATCATGATAAAACTTCTAACATTTGATTACTTGTTTCTGTCACTACGACATTCGCTAAAACCCGTCGGAGTAGAATTACAGCTAAAAATGTTTAAAGCTAAAAACGACCAGTCCAAAGTGGACTACTGCAAAGCTGATAACAACGTGTATTTTAAACTTCTAGGGGTCATTGTTGAAAAGCACAGCGTTTTTTTTTATAGGTGAATCATAAACGAAATGTTACCAGTGAATAAGAAAGGTTCCAGCGGGCTGAGTCAGTCAACATTATTCAATTTATATATATGATATGTGATGTGATGAGTCTATCACTAATTCACTAAAGTGTGAAACAAATTCCATGTTTCTGATGTTTTCCAGATACTGTCGAAGACGTCGAACCTCACGTAAGCGACCACCCAAAATGCAAAGATTTAATGGTCGCTTACTGGAGGTGGTCTCTTAGTTACGAGAACAAGGAGTATTTTTCCAGTAGAGGTCCAGGTAAATATACTTTTTACAAGATAATTTAGTACATGTAATTTCTAAGTTACGATGTATGTTGTTCCGTTTGTCACTCAAACAGTGACTCAAAGTCCGTCATATCCTTTGACGGGTAAGCGAACGTACATAGATCGAGAGTAGACCATGAGGTAAGGGGTCGCGGCCAAACAAGGCTCGCTCCGCTCGCCAAGAGGTCGACTTGTAGCAAGCTTGAAAACAATGGAAAATTATAAAAATGTATCCCCCAAAAGTGTTCGCGGTCACTTTCAAGAGGTGCTCGTTTACGAGAGATTTCAACTATAAGGCTTTGACTGAAAAGTTTTTGGTAGTTTGGATCGATGGTCGCTCGGAGAGGTGGATTCGGCCGTAGGCCATATTTCCCATGATTCACTGAATATTTCCTCTCTTTCTGGGAAAACTGCCGTTGTCTTCCGGTTTTCCCAAGTATAGGAAGTACAATTTCCCCGCCATCCAAGGTCGCATTCTCATGCAGCTTGTAAATTACATACAGTACATCAAAAGACGATGAACATGCTTCTTCTAGTCGTTCTGGGGACAATTTTTGCAGCAACTTTTACCTCAGCTGTTCACGATGCGAAGGTGTTTCTCAAGGTGACAGACAACAACACCTACGAGCTCGTCGAAGATGTTTTGAAAGAAATGTCAAATCTCAAGCGCCCGATTCGAGTCTTAGCCGCCGTTGGTGATGCAAGGGTTGGAAAATCTACCACGTTAAACCTCATTAGTCACGTCTTAGGTGGAAGGAAGAAAGAAGGAAATTCTGTTGAAGAGATTTTTAAAACAGGTGATTCAGCCGAACAAGTAACGCGAAATGTATGGGCACACACGATTCATCCACGGGGCAAAAACGTTGGAGGCATTGTTCTTCTGGACGTAGAGGGTTTTGATTTAGGCGACGATGAAGTTACAAAGCATCTTAGTATGTTTACAGCAATGATGTCGTCTTGTTTGACCCTGTTTGCCAATGATTATTTGGGAAACAACGACAGAAACTTTCTTTATTACATATCCCGCTTAAGTGACTTGGTATTCCGAAACCGCAAAGCTGACCTGGGAAATTTTCCGGAGCTTCATATTGTCATACGAGGCAATCTGAAATATCCCGAAGATATCGAAAGTTATATTCGTAATAAATTCTTTCAGCCAAACCATGACAAGAGTATCTAAGGTATGGTAGATACTATTGAAAGATACTTTAAAAGGGATAGCATTACAGTTAGCCAAATTCCAGATATCAACGAACCTGAGATGTTGCAAGACACTGCCAAATTACGCAACATTTCCGCTTTTTGGAACAGTTTCGAAAAATTAATGGCAAAATTGGAGAAGTGTCCCGAGAAGAAATTTGCCATTGGAGGAAGCCCGATGGACGGTCAAGCCGTAGTGCAACTTGCTAAAGACGTCGTGAAAGCTATGAACGAAAATTCGTGGGCAGAATTCGGAGATGTTTATTTAAATAATGAAAAGGGCATCTGTAGAAGAAGCTACGAAAAACACTTGAGACCAGTTTTACAATTAGATTCGACGGGAATTGGAGATTGGATGATGGAAGCAATAGAAAAATTCAAAACTGATTGCAAGCTTGAAAGTGAGATAGAGAGTGCCAAGGAGGAATTAAGGAAGACCCTCAATGAAAAAAGAAAACAAGAAGAAGAGAGAAGGAAACAGGAGGAAGTAGAAGAAAGAAGAAGAAAAGAAGAGGAAGAGAGAAGAAAAGAAAAGGAAGAGCGAGAAAAAAAGAAAAGTTGGGACTCTTATGGCTGGTATGCAGCCGGCTTGTTAGCCACGTACATAGCCTACCTGAGCGATGAAAATCTAAAAAGTAATGTGACGGTTCTTCCTTACTCCATTTACAACGACATTGGACTGACTGGAGTCTGCTGGAAATGGAACGACAACGCACAACAGAAGTTCGGTCTCACAGGGGAGGCCTGCGGAGTGATTGCACAAGAAGTCCAAAAGCTGTATCCCAAGGCTGTTTTAGTGGGAGAAGATGGCTTCCTGCAAGTGCGATATGGAATACTTCAAAAGATGATTAACCACGTTAGAGACAAGCGCTGTTAGATTTTATAAGTCCAAGAGAAACTCAGGAGAGCATTGTTGTTTCACTACAAAGTGTTAAAAAGTAACTTTCAAACATAACTTGTCGACTTTGCATGCGAAAGGATTGGTTGTAATTTCAGCTCGTTAAAAAAACATTAGTTGACTCTGGTTTACGAGGTTAGAAACATAAACATAGTTTTTTGGCAGGTTTATTACCTGTGGGATATTAACTTGTTGTGTCATTTTTATAGTTGAAAACTGTTGAAAGAAGGCGTGAAGTAAGCTGAAGTAGTCGAGGTATGTAGGAAATCGAAAATCTAGTACACCTTGCAGGCATTGTCAATAAACGTTTTTCCATCAAATTAATAACTTATGAATATCTCAATTCTTTGATCGAAAACAATTATATGCCCGTGTCCAACGCGGTAGTATTACAAATACAGAAAATATGGACATTGCCGGATATATATCCCTGATACTCAGAACATAGCCTGAATTTCATCCGATTGCTTCGAGTCGTTTTCTCCTCTTAGCAACTGAGGGAGTAATAACGACTCGAACTAATCGGATGAAATTCAGGCTAATCAGAACAGTGAAAACACTAATCCTGCTTCTGAAAATGCGACAGTTGATAAAGAAGAAATTTAAGAGGTAAAACGTTTTAACCTGCTCATCAGTACATTTGAGTGCTTTGCAAACGTTTTTAATAGAGTGTTACTGAATTTAGGCGAAGTAGCCTGGGCCCAAGCTCTTTGGTGGGGAATGAGGGACAAGGAAGCGCGCGGGGGAAAGGCGGCGGAATACATTGCCCATGCACCACTCCCCCTTTCATTCTTCCCTTGCCGTCTGGCCCCCTTCTCCGGTCCACAGGCTGATAGGCACGCCTTTTCGTTGATTTGCGTCGAATGACAAAGTTGACCATCATCTCACGTAAGTCAAAAAAAAAAAACAAAAACGATTGCGACATTTCACGGTTTGAAATGATAATAGAACCTACAACTCAGTTACTGTATTAATGTTTGTGACGTTGGGCAAGAATTCTTCCCAAAACGTTATGCGAGTTGCGAGATGCATGCGACCTACGCTAACAAGGGACGTCCCCTGGGACTGGAGGCAGATTTATAAATTTGCGCCATGGGCACTGAATGGACCGAATGAGGGATCTCTACTCCACTACAACACTTTTCCCCACTGCAACAACCTGATTTGTTGCGCGCTTAACATCGCCTTTCAACTTGTTTTGCAGCTATGTTGCAATACAAGTTTCTCGTTTTTTTGTACGCTTTACCGTAGCTTTAACCGACGCGGCAGTTGCCTTTACGACCTGCACGTGGAAAGGCGCGCCTTGGCTCCTGCTTTCAGGCATATAGTATAATCGCGGGTGAAATTGAACGCTCCCCAGCATTTTTTCAAGGTCAAATATGGAATAAGATCAGTGAATTGAATAAGAAAAGCTACATCCATTAGACCCGTTAGGTTAATGTAAATGCATGTCGTCAGTTTCCAAAAGCCTTGGAGAAAGCGCGTGATGAACTTTCGTGACACCTAGTAAATGTTTGAACCCAGGAATAAATTGTCAGCATGAAGATTGCTTAAAAAGGATAGATAAAAAATCCACAGCAATCTATAAAAATACTGTAAACGAGTGAGTATGGAAATAGGTTCTGGTTGAACAGGTAAAACCAAAATATGAATATTGAAAAGGATTTTTTGCCATTGACTCGTCTCCGAAGTCTCGAAACGCTCATCCTCAGGTTGTATAATACTACGTAGAGTGCATCAAAAGAAACTGAACATGATGCTGAAAGTCGTTCTGGGGATAATTTTTGCTGCTAGCTTTAGCTCGGGTGCTGAAGGCCGCGAGGCAAAGGTGCTACTTAAGGTGACGGACAACAAAACCTACGAGCTCGTCGAAGATGTTTTGAAAGAATTGACAGAAATCGAGCGCCCAATTCGAGTCTTAGCCGCCGTCGGAAACGCAAGGGTTGGAAAATCTACCACGTTAAACCTCATAAATCACATCTGGGATGGAAGGGAGAAGGGACATTCGGTTGAAGAGATTTTTAAAACCGGTGATTCGTCCGAACAAGTAACGCGAAATGTATGGGCACACACGATTCATCGACTACGCGAAGACGGTGGAAGCATTGTTCTTCTGGACGTGGAAGGCTTTGACTTAGGGGATGATAAGGTAACAGAGCATCTTAGTATGTTTACGGCTATGATGTCGTCTTGTTTGACCCTGTTTGCCAATGATTATCTGGGAAATAACGATAGAAACTTTCTTTATTACATATCTCGCTTGAGTGACTTGGTATTCTCAAACAGCTTGGCTGGCCTGCGAAATTTTCCGACGCTTCATATCGTCATACGAGGCAATCTGAAATATCCCGAAGATATCGAAAGTTATATTCGTGATAAATTCTTTAGGCCAAACCATGATAAGAATATCCAAGGTATGGTAGATACTATTGAAAGATACTTTAAAAGGGATGGCATTACAGTTAGCCAAATTCCAAATGTCAACGAACCTGAGATATTGCAAGACACTGCCAAACTACGCAACAAGTCTTTTTGGAACAGTGTCGAAAAACTAATGGCCAAATTGCAGAATTGTCCAAAAAAGAAATTTGCCATTGGAGGAAGCCCAATGGACGGCCAAGCCTTAGTGGACCTTGCAAACGACGTTGTGAAAGCTATGAACGAAAACTCGTGGGCAGAATTCGGAGATGTTTATTTTAACAATGAAAAGGGCATCTGTCAAAGAAGCTACGAAAAACACTTGAGACCAGTTTTACAGTTTGATTCGAAAGGAATTGTAGACTATATGATGGAAGCAATAGAAAACTTCAGAACTGATTGCAAGCTTGAAAGTGAGATAAAGAGTGCCAGGGAGGAATTAAAGAAGACCCTCAATGAAAAAAGAAAACAAGAAGAAGAGAGAAGGAAACAGGAGGAAGCAGAAGAAAGAAGAAGAAAAGAAGAGGAAGAGCGAAGAAATAAGGAAAATTGGTACTCTTATGGCTGGTATGTAGCCGGCTTGTTAGGCGGGTACTTGGTCCTCTTTAGCGATGAAAATCTAAAAAGCAACGTGACAGTTCTGCTTTATTCCATTTACAACGACATTGGACTGACTGGAGTCTGCTGGAAATGGAACGACAACGCACAACAGAAGTTCGGTCTCACAGGGGAGGCCTGCGGAGTGATTGCACAGCAAGTTCAAAAGCTGTATCCTGAGGCTGTTTTAGTGGGAGAAGATGGCTTCCTTCAAGTGCGATATGGAATACTTCATAAGATGATTAACCACGTTAGAGACAAGCGCTGTTAGATTTTATAAGTCCAAGGGAAACTCAGTAGAGCACAGTTGTTTCACTACAAAGTAATAAAAAGGAACTTTCAAACATAACTTGTCGACTTTGCATGCCAAAGGATTAACTGTAATTTCAGCTCGTTAAAGTTGCCTCTGGTTTAGAAACATAACCATAATTTTTTGGCTGATGTATTACCGGTGGGATATTAACCTGTTTTGTCATTTTTATTGTTAAAAACTGTTGAAAGAAGGCGTGAAGTAGTTGAAGTATGTAGTAAATTGAAAATCTATTACACCTTGCAGCCATTGTCAATAAACGTTTTTCTATCGAATTAATAACTTAGGAATATCTCAATTCTTTTATCGAAAACAATTACGAACATATGGAGACGTAATCATTTTGTTAAAGTATTGCCTTGCACTCAAAGGGAGAAGAACCATACTGTTGCCTGTTCCCAGATAAATGAGGCAAAACAATCGTGCCGAGAACTTCCTTTCCAAATTTTGGAAAACAGTAAAGATTCAATGATTGGTGTCATTGGTGAATAAACAGGGATGCATCAAAATGTCATCCCCACCTCTCTCATGTACACTGCACGCTTTGTAACGGAGGTAAAGTTATGTACCGCTTCTAAGAGAGCTACAACATTGTCTAAAGCATGTATTTAAGTTTTGAATTTTCCAAATCTTGCTGGTACAATCTTAAATTTTTCAAATGTTGCCGGCAAGATCTGAAAATTCCAAAACTTGCAGGCAAGATCTTGAACTTTCTAAATCTTGGCAGCAAGATCTTGACTTTTCCAAATCTCAGTTGGCAGCAAGATCTGGAATTTTGCAAATCTTACAGGCATTATTTTTTTTTGGAACTTCCTCCAACTGTAAGCTGGAGTTTATGCTGACAGACAAGCTCCACCATAATTCTGCAAAACCCTTGACGGAAATTTGCCCACAGAAAAAGTTTTGATCAGAATTTCCATAATGATTTTCACCATTTAAGGGCCTGTTTACATGGAGGTGGGGGACCCCAGATAGGTGGGGTAACATGTGCCGGGTCACCCCACCTATCAGGTAAATCAAATTAAAATGAGAGATTATATGGACAGGCAAATTACCTCACCTACCTGGGGTCCCCCACCTCCATGTAAACAGGCCCTTAGTTTAATACTTTACCAAAATAGTCAAACCACCCATAAAAGACCACCCTAAATACCAAGAATTAAAGGTCACTTAAGAAAATGAAACGAAAGGAATCTCTTCCAGGAAAAAAAGGTTTGTGATAACTACTGTTCTCCCAAGAAAATTTACACTTATGGGTCATTTCGATACAATAATTTATTATACAGGATATAATTGTCCATTTGAAAAAAAAAGAAAGAAAGAAAAGAAATAATATTTACAAGAGCAAAGTTAATTTTATACACCCTTGTTCTACTTGCCAACTTTGTACCAAATAATAGGAAAAGCAATCTAAGTTGATTCATCATGTGGGTCACATGGCCATCTGAGAAGCTTGTTGTTTATTACCTGTGGGAGCGTTACAGAGGGGGTACCGAGCAGTACCGAGCTTGAATCAAAATTTGAATGCAACAGCTGTAAATAGTAAACACTGATCTCATAGAAACAACTGTAGATAAAGTATGTGGAGAACTAAGGCACAATTTGTTGCTAGAGTATTCAGGTTGGGGTCACTTTCAAAATATGTAAAATTTATGGGGGGTAATTTCCAAAAAGCTAGAAGGATGAATTGGGGGGTCGGTTTGAAAATCTTCTAAGCTTTCTCAAAATGGACGCCCCTCCTCACACGTAACAAATGACTAGCTCCTGAATTATACTGTTGAGTGCTAGTGAAATGACTTTGCTGCGATGTGACTTGACATCCGTAAGAATTTTTTTAAACATTTTAAAAAACTGCACATTGGCCTGGAATATCTAAAACATTGCAATCTGGACTCTAAGACTAATGTATGTAGCATAAAAGGCAAATATTTATCTCATGGATTAAAAATAATCTTGAGCTTGATTCATCCTAAGCCAGGCATCAAATAAGCGAGATTATCCAGAACCTCTGCCTGTTGAAAAAAATAAGAAATTCAAGTCACTTGGATTGGTTGTTTACCCACCTCAGAACATGCAATGTTATTCTAGACAACAACTGTTTCTTTGAAATGTCATAACATTCACGTATATCAACGCCTAATTGACAATTAAAGTAAGGCCATCACACACATGTAACCTCCAGCGGGGCGACAAACACCAGTTGCCCCTCTCTTTAAAGGAGCTGTGTCACGAAATTCAGCCAAAGTAGGAAATTGCAAAATGCCCGGTAAATTAAGAGAAACATAAAAATAACCGCTTAAAACTTTAAAGGAAGGTTAAAATAACATAACAGATACAACAGATGCCATGGATGGGCAAAACTGAGGAAGATTGAAACGGATTGACATTAGGGTTTTTGGAAACTGTTCAGCCTAACAGTTTTTCAAAGTTGATCCCTGCTGCTTGCGACTTCAAAAATAATGCTCTGGAGACATATTTGTTTGTCTCGGATCTCTGATTTGTCATTTAGATGTAATTTCTTTGCTTACTTTAGCGATTGAGGGCGAGTAATTGGCAAACTTTAACAAAACGAACCGGACTGCCGTGACACAGCCCTCTAATAGTTAGACCAAAAGTGATCTTAAGCGACCTTTAAGTGACGACCAATACAGGTTCCGTGGTCATCAAGTCCTTCATTCTCATGATCACCATGTTTGTTTAAGCAGAGTCACCATTAGGAGAAACTAGATGCTGATCAAAATAAAAAAAATCCAAGTACCTGAGTTTTCGGTGAACAGCCATTCATTTCTGGTACTTGAGATGTAAGAAATAGTAGTGGTGAAATAGCACACAGTGCACTGTCTAACAACACCGACAAGCTGCCATGCACTTCTCCTGGGTCCTGAAAAAGAACATCGACTTGTCAAGACAACGAAAACAAACAAAGCTCATAATTTTAAAGAAAAAAAAAAACAGCACAAAGAGGGTCAGACTGCCCACACAGGCCATAAATTTTAAGCAGGCCATTCTATCAAGGTTTCCCGTTTGTTTGGGCAGCTGTGTGACTTCTGTCTGTCTGTCCCATAAAAGGCTTTCTGTAAGGAAGGTGGAACTCACTTTCCCAGTGATTTTTGTGTGCATGCTGCACCCTACCGAAGACAAGTTTAAAGATTGTACTGTTCTTTGTTGGGACGAGGGGGATGTAATCCAGCGGTATAAAAGAGACAAAGTCAACAGGCAGACAAGATTGTGTTTGGTGTTCAGAGGACAAACCGACATGTCTCACCCAGCAGACCAGCATTCTGCGATGAAGTATTTCAAAGTCTAATCCCATCCCCACTCCACCCTCTCACTCTAGTATAACTTCTACACACCTGTACCCTGAGACACGCTCCAATTGTCCCGAGGGACTCCCCCAGAAGTTGCAAGTGTGCTGCTAAGTCAATAGGCTCAGCTTTGTCATCCTTTACTTTTGGTGCAGGTGTGGAGACAGCTTTGGGGGTTGCTTGAAGTCCAAGTGATTTCCTGAGCTCTTCTGCTTTCTTTCGCCAATGCTGCAAAAACAAAAGAGATGTTTAACTGTTTTACCCCCTGATTTCATTATGACAAGAATATTTGTCACTTTAATTTTTAAAGCTGTGGATGAAATCCTATGGTGTCACCATTCTTTGACAAAACTTTTCCACTGTGCCATAGGATTGATTTTTCTGTGGCTTCTTTCACTGTTTGTGACCTGCTTTGTGGCCTGTGAAAAGTTACGGGTTTTTCATCATGTACTAAAGCAACTGTTTTGTTTTACTTTGCCAACAAGCTGTTCTCACTATTTGTTAAAAAAACAGCAATATTTAGATTACCATTGAATTTATATACCTGCTTATCTTCTTCACTGAGGTTGTTCCATGCAATGCCCACCTTTTTGCTGATTTCAGTAAACTCTAAAAAAACAAAACAAGAAATCATTCTGGAAATTTCTTGGAAAAGAGAGGATAGCCTGTAAATTTACTGCCTCCTTTTATGTCTCACCACCACACAATGATGTTTTGTGAGAGGGATGCCTAAACTATGGTCAGGTTTAATGGGATGAAGTTTATCACACCACCAAGAATTTGGCTTATGTGACATGTACAGTGTACAAATGATTATTGCATGCTAAGGTATCACCCTTTATTACATGTATGCACTACAACATGGATTTAGCACTAATGCAGTCCAATCGCGCAATGTATATTCAGGATTGAGCAGTAACGGTTGTTGCAACATGTTATGTCCTGTACCATTATAGTTAGAGTTGTACGCTTGGAAACATTGATGCTTGATAAAATTTAATGACTGTACTTGCAGTGAAAATTGCGTGAAAAAGGCTTACCTAATCCTGGATTTTCCTCAGCAATTTTCTTGCGATGTTGCTTGCAGAATAGCAAATAGGATGTCACAACCTTAGGCTTCTAAAGATAAAAATCATTTCCATAAGAATAAAAATATTGTTTTCCCTTTATTTCCTACGTCAAACTTGGCTAAAGTTAAAAATCTTTAACTATATTGCTTTAACTCAAAGTTCTTGAGAGCAAAGTGTTTTCCCATCATTACACACTGTTAAACTTTTCATTCCTACACAAAAAAAGGGGCAAGATGATTTGTCATACTAAATCAAGTGAGGTTAATTTGTATGTGAATTATACAATATTATTGTTTTCATATGAAAGGGTGAACGCTATGTAATTTTTGCAATCCCAACTGAGTCACTTTCTATTCTTATGAATTGACCCATTTTTTATATCGAATGAAGAACACTTTACTTTTCATTTGCGGTACAAACATTCTGGTACGTTTGCTAACTGTAAATAGGAAGAACTGTCTCACCCCAAAAAATCCCAAAAATGTGCCACCCCATTCTAGTAACTCTGTTGAAAATGCGACCCCATAATAGTCAATCCAGTGTAAAAATGTGACCCCATCCAGCGGCACATCCCCTTTAGCCTCTTATAAGGGAGTACCCCCCGCCCCCCCTTCCCCACAGGTGGGAGCAGTGTCTCCTTTTGTCTTCTTGAGTGAGGAGAATAAAAAGAGGCTCCTCCTGAATTACGTCAAGCCTTTGAGGTTGCTGAAGCCCAAACTTCTGGACTGATCAATGTTGTTCTCTGTCATCAAACTGGTTATCCAAGTGCGAGCATTTGTTTATTGATAAACAGATGGTCACAACTCAGCGATTTTGTTACAAATAGTTATGGTGAGTCCTGGGACTCATCTTGTGAACAAATCATGAGTCCCACTCCAGAACCATTGAGTCCCAGTTCAAAAAAAA